AGGTTCAGGCTCACGTGGCTGTCGGCGCTCCTCTCTTCCTCCTCGTGTTCAGGCTCACGTGGCTGATGGCGGCTCCTCTCTTCCTCCTCGTGTTCAGGCTCATGTGGGTGACATCGGCTCCTCTCTTCCTCTCTTGTATCATGGTCATATATTTCATAGCGGCTCCGCTCATCCCTTCGTGGTTCAGGCTGTTGTTGCGGACAGCGGCTTCTCTCTTCCTCTCTTGTTTCAGGCGCATGTGCTCTATAGTGGCTCCTCTCATCCCCTTGGGGCTGAGGTTCATGTGGGCGAGAGCGGCTCCTCTCATCCCTTCGTGGTTCAGGCTCACGTGGCTGACGATGGCTCCTCTCTTCCTCCCTGGCTTCTGGCTCACATGTTTCATAGCGACTCCTCTCAGATTCTCTGGGCCAATAGCCACTTTTCTCATCCTGTCGTGATTCGGGTTCAAGGCATCTCCTCTCACGACTTTGTGGCTCGGGCTCATATGGCTGATGGGAACTCCTCTCATCCTCTCGTCGTTCACGTTCATGTGGGTGACGTCGGCTCCTGTCTACCTCCCTTGTTTCAAGGTCACGTCTCTCGTAGCGGCTCCTCTCATCCCCTCGTGGTTCAGGTTCACAAGACCGATGGTGGCTTCTCTCATTCTCTCTATGTTCAGATCTTTGTGTTCCGTACCAACTCCTCTCATCCCGTCGTGGTTCAGGCCCATGTGGCTGACGGCGGCGTCTCTCTTCCTCTCTTTTTTCAGGCTCATATGTTTCATAGTTGGCCCTCTCATCCCCTCGTGGCTCAGGTTCCCGTGGCTGACGGCGGCTTCGTTCAGTCTCTCTAGTTTCAGGCTCCCATGTTTCGTAATATCCTTTCTCCGTCCCTAGCGGTTTAGGCTGATCGCGACTCCCCTCAGCCCTTCCTGCTTCCGGCTCCTGGCGCCGCTCCCCACTCAGTCCCGTCTCTGTTCTTTGCGGGAGCCGTTGTTTTGGCTGCAGGTACCAGTAACAAACCTTCGCCACTCTAAATACCAGAAGCAGGAATTCATTGAAATCTTCAACCCCGTCGCCATCATGATCCAGAAGTTGCAGTACTGCCTCTATGGCGTGAGCATCGTAGGGGTTCTGCAGGAAAACCAGACCCAGGGGAAACTGTATTAATCTTGCTGGCCCTTCCCAGTTACACATGCAAAGGCAGATGTGGTTCAATCCTCCCTTTGTCCACCTCCCAACGGCTTTTCCCTTCTGTTCAGCAGCTCCCTCATGCCAATCCTCTGTGCTCCATCCTGCGGGTCATTCCCTGGAGGGCAGCTCATCGGCTGGCTGGTTCCCTTCCCTTTGAGAGACGCCACATCCTCTCCTGGAGCTTATTGTCCTCCACCTGTCCTTGATGAAGAATCCCACCTCAACCCCACTTCTTTCCTCTGCTTGTCTCCTTAACTCCTTCCCATCCCTGGAACGCTCCTTCCCATAGTCCATCCCCCAGCCATAGACGCCGACTCCGTGGGTGCTCTGGGGCTGGAGCACCCACAGGGAAAAAATGGTGGGTGCTGAGCACCCACCGGCAGCCCCCCTATCAGAACCTCTCTCCCCCCACCCACCGCAATCAGCTGTTTTGTGGGGTGCAGGAGGCTTTTGGGGGGAGGGGAGAGGAGCGAGGACATGGCGTGCTCGGAGGAGGGAGCAGAACGGGGCAGGAAGAGGCGGGATGGGTTGGGGCCTTGGGGAAGGGATGGAGCGGGGGTGGGGCCTCGGGCGGAGCCGGGGGTCGAGCAACCCCTGGCACTTTGGAAAGTCGGCACCTGTGCTTCCGGCCTCCTTCAGTATTTGTGTTCAGTATTCATCCAGCCCCGGATAGCCCCTATTCAGCCTTTGTATGAATCCACAGCATGTGGATTCATTTCTCCCTTCCAGACTGAATCTCTCACTGACTAAGAGTCGCAGGATACATTTTTCGCTGGGCGGGGGCTTGAGCCGGCTTTGTGTTGTATTGTTGAAAAGGAAGGCCCTAGATTCTGAACCCGGCCCTTGTTGCTGCCAACTCGGACTGGCCGAAGGGTTACAGACATATATGACGTTTCAGATTGGAATTGAGAATCCAGTCGGTAGGACGACCTGTCTTACAAAGCTGTGTGGGCAAGGTCTATGTTCAAGGACAATCATGCCACTTAGCTTAGCAGTAAAGCTGGTGGGTAAATTTTCAACTAATTTTTTGGGGGGGGGTTGGAAAAATGCCTCTATGTCAAAACCTTTTCACAGAAACACGTCAGTTTGGGTGAAATTTTTTGCTGGAGGGTTTCTTGGGTCCAGGATGGAATTTCTGTTCAAAACCTGAAAGAGCGACCCACCCTGGAATAGCCAATGAGTATAAGGTTAGGGTTCATTCCTGGAACCACGAAGACCCACATCCCTGTTCTGAGTCCTGTAGAATAGGGATTTGAACCTGGGTGTCCTACGGCTATTAGAGCAGATGGTCTCTCTCACTTAGTTTTTCAATTTTTTTTGGACAGGTCTTGGTTTTGTTCCGCACGGGAATGGAAACAGATGTTGAAACGTCAGCATTTTTCAAGAAACAAGGCCACACAAGGATGAAAGTGTGATGCCGGCTGGGGAAGTAAAACAGGTCAGTCTTCAAAACAGCTTTTGTGGGTTCAACTTGCCCCTGCAAATGGCCTCTTGGTGCTTGTTTCCCCTCTTGCCCCTTGTTTGTATCTGCCTTTATGTAATTACGGGTGCAAGTTGCTAGATTTGCACCCTCAAATCAGTTGCAGGAGCAAACAAATGCAGATGCATGTTTTTACATGTGCATTTTTCCCTGCAAAAGGGAGCTGCCCCCCTTTGAAAAGACGACCCAGAGAATGGAATTGTCCTTGGCATTGCTGAGTCTCCACCATAACCCCCATACGACCCGCTCCGGACGAGAGCCGTCCCGTTCTGCTGCCGTACTGTTTGCCACAATCGGTACCGCAGCAGAAAGAACCGTCTGCAGCTGCCGTCCCCTGTCTCTGAAGCAACAAGTTCTATACTCAACCCACATCCAGCCTCCCCTTTCTGGCCGTGCTCACCACTGTGATGTCAGCAAACCCCCTCTGGATGAACCTTTTCACCTCTCTCTTGCTGATGGTGGAGCAGTCCTCGTCTTTCTTCCCAGGTTTGTAGAAGACGCTGATGAGGGTGGAGATGCTGTCCAGGAGCTGAGGCATCTTTCTGTAGATTCAAGCAAGTCTGAAAGGAAAGATCAGCGCTAAGCCCAGGATACATTTTCCCTGGGTGGCCCTTCCTCTGAGCATGGACAGATAGGGAGACTTCCTAGTGACTTCAGCGGGCTTTGGACCAGGCCCACAATGCGCAGTTAAGGGGCACTATTCTCCCAGCGTAATCTGTGGGATATGACCAGATCCCCTTGACTTCAGTGGCACCTGGTTTGTGAATACATAACGCAGGCATTTAAACGCCAACAGTTGCTAGCAGGGACAGGAGGAGACATCTGAAAGCATCAGTCTCTTCTGATCGCTGACATATTGGTCACACTTTAACCCAGCAAGGGTGCATTTGTGGAGAGCTTACAGAGCGTTAATAAATGATTAAGTATTACAAGACTTGAGCAGTAGGTGTTACAGGGCGTTGGAGATGCTTATAAGCCATAGTTGTAGTCAATCCACTAACCTGTTGGAGTTTATAATAATCTACAGCAATCGATTGACCATTTATGGAAACATCAAGTCATCCTGTAGTCACAGATTCGTAGATTTTAAGGCCAGAAGGAACCATTGGCTCATCTGGTCTGATTTTCATCCAGTTGCTCCTGTGTTGAACCCAATCACTTGTGTTTTATCCCTTTGTAAACTCTCTCTGTACATGGACCCTTCATGTAATGTGTGATGAGCGTGTTTCTAGTGCAAATGCAGGACCGGCTCCAGGGCTTTTGCCGCCCCAAGCGGCGGGGAAAAAAAAAAAGCCGCGATCGCAATTGCGATTGGTGGCACTCCGGCGGCAGCTCCACCGCGCCGCTTTCTTCTTCGGTGGGAATTCGGTAGCAGGTGCTTCCCTCCCAGAGGGATCGGCCGCTGAATTGCCGCCGAACAGCCTGACGTGCCGCTCCTTCCCCTTGGCTGCCCCAAGCACCTGCTTGCTGCGCTGGTGCCTGGAGCCGGCCTTGTGCAAATGAACCTATCGGGGGGTTGGTTCCCGTGAAACGGGACAGGATCCTGAGGGTACGTCTTCACTGCAATTAAACACCTGCAGCTGCCTGGCTGTGGGGCTGTAGCCCCGTAGCCAGTCGGGCTTGGGTTGGGGCTGAGCCCTGGGACCCTGTGAAGGGGAAGAGTCCCAGACCCGGGACTCCAGCCCAAGCCTGAAAGTCTGCACTTTTTCAGCCCTGCAAGCTCCAGTCAGCTGACCCAGGCCAGCCGCAGGTGTTCCGTTGCAGTGTAGACATACCCGTAGTTACTGAACAGGAACAGCAACGAGATTGAGAACAGTGCTTTGCTAGCACTCTTCCTCCGAGGATCCCAACACGCTGCACTTCGCCAGGAGGAAGTGAAGTATTATCAGGGTGTGGGAGACTCGGCGCTTTCCATTTGCAGGGCTTCTGGGGGCAGAAGACTTCTCCACCCTGGTGGGGTTTCTGCTGCTGCTGCAGCTCTGAGCCGTCCAGAAAACGCCACCCAAAATGACTGTGCCGGGTTAGTTTTCACCCAAATTTGGCTCGGGCTTGGATTTGTAAGAAATCCTGGCCCCAAAACATTCATTGCTAAAGCCGAACACAGCTCTGAAGAGTATCCCCATTGTCAGGAGGGGGAAACTGAGGGACCGAGCAGGGAAGACTTGCCCAAGGACGCGCACCAAGTCAATAGCACAGCTGGGAATAGAACCAAAGAGCCCTGGATATAACCACCTGATTGGACTTCCTCGCTGCAAAGTCTAGCTTTCTGGTAAGCTTATGCATATTCTGTCTCAGTCTCTAATTGAAATCGTCGTCTCTTTTGCTTGGAGCTCTTCGCATGGAACTGACTGGCTGCCCTGTTTATTTTAAAATTTCTGACGTGGCGAGAGAGTGAGAGACAGAGAGTGCTGGAGGGGAAATGGGAGGAGGGAACGGGAAAGGGACGTCTGGAGGGGAGAATGCAGAGGTGGCTATTGAACTAACAAGATTCTGTAGGATTTTTTTTTTTATCTTTTCAGAGTAGCAGCCGTGTTAGTCTGTATCCGCAAAAAGAAGAACAGGAGTACTTGTGGCACCTTAGAGACTAACAAATTTATTTCAGCATGAGCTTTCGTGGGCTACAGCTTCCGAAGAAGTGGGCTGTAGCGCACCAAAGCTTATGCTGAAATAAATGTGTTAGTCTCTAAGGTGCCACAAGTACTCCTGTTCTTCTTTTTTATTCTTGGAGACTGATCCAAAGCCCATTGAAATCAACAGACTTCCTCTGACTTCAGTGGGTGTTGGGCCAGGCCTGGGGAACGCTACTTCTAAAAGAAAAAGAGAGACGTACATCCGGGCACCGCAGCTTAAGGGCACCCTGACTGGGTAGAAAGAACAGGAGGACTTGTGGCACCTTAGAGACTAATAAATTAATTTGAGCATAAGACTTCGTGGGCTAAAACCCACTTCATCGGATGCATAGAATGAAACATATTCTGTGCATCCAATGAAGTGGGCTGTAGCCCACGAAAGCTGATGCTCAAATAAATGTGTTAGTCTCTAAGGTGCCACAAGTCCTCCTGTTCTTTTTGCGGATACAGACTAACACGGCTGCTACTCTGAAACCTAACTGGGTAGGTGAGAGCCAGATTGATGGGGGAAAACAGAGTGAAGACAGAGGTAGCTTCAGCTAGGGCAAGAAATCCAGATCTTCCCAGGAAGAGCTGACATACCATGTCTCTGGGCAAACTCATTTTGATATGTGTTGAGCCCAGCAGGCAGAGAGATTTGGTTACCTATGCTAGACTGGGGTCTGGATAATTTTATAGGGGCAGAAGAGTCTTTTCCCACCGCACTGTTCATACTTTACTGCACAGTAACAACAATGATATTCTGTACTTAAACAGCCCTTTGCATCAGAGAATCGTCAAGCATTTTACAGAGGTGGATCAATATAGTTATCCCCATTTTACAGATGGGAAAAGGAAGGCACAGAGAAGGGAAGTGACTTTCTCCAGGAGTGAACCAATAGCAGAGCTGGGGCTAGAATGCAGGAGTCCCAAGTCCAACCACTGCTTCATACTCTGCTCCGTGCTGATCAGTAGAAATGTCACCTTAGACACACACACACACACACACACACGCACTGTGGTCCAAATTCTGCTCTATGTGACACCAACATAAATCTGGAGTAACTTAGTTGTGAATGAGAGCAGAAGCCGCACCGAAAAGATGCCCAGAAATCTGTACATCTCCCTCAGAGGATAGTATCTTCAAAATGCTGCTGGTATCGCAGCTTGCACGTAGATTAGCAATCACAGAAATGTCAGGTCAGAAGGGACTTCAAGAGATCATCTAGTCCAGCTCCCTGCGCTGAGTCAGGGCCAAGTAAACCTAGACCATCCCTGACAGGAGTTTGTCTAACTTGTTCTTAAAACCCTCCGATGATGGGGATTCCACAACCTCCCAAGAACTTGTTCCAGTGCTTAATTATCCTTATCGTTAGAAAGCTTTTCCCTAACATCTAACATAAATCTCTCTTGCAGATTAAGCCCATTACTTCTTGCCCTGTCCGCAGTGGACATGGAGAACAAATGAGCCCGTCCTCTTTCGAACTAACATTTTGCATATTTTAAAACTGTTATCGGGTCTCCCCCTCAGTCTTCTCTTCTCTGGATTAAACATGCCCAGTTCTTTCAACCTCTCCTTGTAGGTCATGTTTTCTTAACTTCTTACCATTGTTGCTGCTCTCCTCTGGTGTCTCTCCAGTTTGTCCACATTTTTCTTAAAGAGCAGTGCCCAAAATGGACACAAGACTCCAGCTGAGACCTCACCAGTGCCGAGTAGAAAGGGACAATGATCTCCCGTGTCTTACCTACAACACTCCTGCTAACACATCCCAGAATGGATGGATGGTCTAGATAATACTTAGACCTGCCATGAGTGCAGGGGACTGGACTAGATGACCTCTTGAGGTCCCTTCCAGTCCAATGATTCTATGATTCTGTGACATTCGCCTTTTTCACAACAGCATTGCTTTGTTGACTCATGTTCAATTTGTGATCTATTAGACCCCCCATGGCCTTTTCTGCAGTGCCTGAAAAATCTGCAAATCTCTGTCAAACAAATCAACCAGCCTTTCACTAGAGGTCTAGAGGCTCCCAGACAACACACTGCAAATTATCCCGCAAGACTGGCAGTATCCCCCAGACATAATCCCATCCCCATAACAGTCACTCTCTGTGCAAGTAACGACATGGTTGTAAATTCCAACTTACCCAACTCGCTAACGGGAACACTTGAGGTTCAGTGAAGCCGTTGGGAGAACACTGAGGAGCTGAGTTCTTTTATAGGGTTCCTAATTGTGCTAAAGAAAGGAGGTGCCTTCTCTGTAGAGAGCCCTGATTCATCTTTAGTCAAGCCCGGCTGCACCTTTATGTCCTCAGATAGGTTGTTTGACTCATTATCCCCTTCACCTATCATTTTAGCCCAGAAATAGCAGCTATGTGACAATTCTAGTGCCGGTGGGTCCCACCTAATCTGAATTGCAAGGTCATTTTACAGGAGGGCTGTATTTTACATTTTTTTAGAATGAAGAATGCATTTCAAGCAGCCAAACTTGGTAGGCGAGGATCGGTGGAACAAAGGGATTTTCGGTATAATGTTACCGAGGCAGAAAAGGCAGCCGTTCCTAACACAGGTTGAAATTCTGCTCCGCATTGCAAGGGTGTGTGTGTGGGGGGTGAAATAAGGATTGAGGTTGATGGAGTTAGTTGAGATCAGAACCGGGACTGTAATAGAACTGTTTGTCTATGGCGTGGGCCCGATATTGCAAAAACGGCAGAGATTGGTGCTTACTCACATGGGTCTTGCTCCACTGCAGTCAGAGGTGTGACTGCAGCCAATGTAGATGTCCCCACGCTAGCTTTAATCTAACTAGTGCCGTAGCAGTGAAGCACCGTCACATGGGTTTCAGCGTGGGCTCAGGACCTGGGGGACTTACTTTGGCAGCTAACCCGTGCTGAAGTTCGTGCTGGCATGGCTTGACTGCTATTGGTGCCCTAGCTCGGATGTAGGTCTACGCATGTTGCAATCAAACCTCCAACTGCAGTGTAGACATATCCAAGTGCCCATAGCATCTAGGCGCTGGAGTCAATGGACTTTGGATTTGGCCTTCCGATACTAAGGGATGAGCACAATACTTGGCCCTATAGATACACAAAACAGCAAGTACTACTCTTGGTAGTAAGTGTTTGCAGAATGAGGTCCTAATTCATTAGACATTATGGGCTAAATTCTCTGCCGGTATAAACTGACACGGCTCAATGGATCTGTGCGAGTTTACACCAGTAGAGATGTTGGCCCAAGTACTTGAACTCAGAGGGTCATTTCCTGCTCTATTTCTCACCTGAACAGTTCCATTGAAACCCAAAGAGTGTAACTGAGAGATTTCATTGCTGAGTTTATTTTTTAGAAGCGTCAAACCCATGTAATATAATGAGGCTTCTCCTCTCCCCTACCCTAGTGCAAACTAGAGGTAACTCTACCAAAGTCACCGAAGTTACAGCAGGGTGAATCCAAGAGACATGAGATCAGAAACAGGGCCCGTTCAGACAAGGTGAATAGCAGATTTCTCAGTTCACTGGCCATTCTGAAAAAAAATATATTTTGGGTTGAACCAAAACCAATTTTTATTTTGAAGTTTTTAGTGAACCGAAAAGTAAAAAAAACCCCATAGTTCTGAGTCACACAAAACAGTTCAAAATGAAATGTTTGAATGAAATGAAATGTTTAAATGACAAAAACCTGAAAGAAATTTGGAAAGGGAAAGTTGTTTTGAATAACCCCGCCGAAACATTCAGTTTTGTTCTGTTGGTTTTTTTCCTACCAGAACAATATGTTGAAAGTGACAAGAATTTGCAAAATATTTCAGTGTTGCCAATGCTACATTTTTTGCCAAAAAAAGTTTTGGACAAAATATTTCGCCTGGCTCTAGGGCCCGCGTGTCATCCTTCTTTATTCCTGTTTCTAGTCAAGCACCATATTTTCTCAATTATTTAGTAGGGCAGCACCCTCTTCTTAGAAGTTGTCTGGCTGCAATCGATTTAAGATGATCGTCTTTTGCTTTTGTTTCTGACTCTGTAACATAGTGAAAGGCATTTGGGTGTATGGGGATCACTGAAGTATTTGGAAAATCATCTATAACAATCAAAACCAGTAATGATCCTAAAACTCTGGCTGACATTTACAACAATGGGATCAGAGGTATGATTGTGTTAATTTCATTTGTGCCCAGAGTTTGAAGACTGGTGCTTTAGAAACCATAACAAACTATTTTGATCCTAATTTTTCTTCCTCTATCTGCAATATCTAGCATGCCTATCACCTTGGTATATAACCACCTTTAATGACCTTTAGTCATATACTAGTGATCAAAGGGTATGAGCTCTGTCTCTCACCAACAGAAGTTGGTCCTATAAAACATATTACCTTACCCACCTTGTCTCTCTAATATAAGAAGTGACAGATTTAAAAATGTGAAGAAATAAAATCCATCAGTTCCACATATCAATTAACAGGTACCATTATCTGTGTTCGATTTTCATTAGTAGAGAGGAAAAAAGTAGATTAAATTAATTAACAGCATCAGAAAATACCATTCTAATATTGAGGAATGGATGATTGAATCCAGGGCTAAGATGAACTTCAAAATCCATGAGAAGAGTTTTAAAAACTCATTCTGGAAGCAATAAACTAGAGGGAAATCTTCACTAAAGATTCCACCTCCAGCAACCTACCATTTGTATTAAGTAACCACTTTAATGTGTCCTTATTAGAGCTAGTATTTGGTGCAAAAAGTTCAAAGAAAATGAAAGTATTGGTATTTTTCATACAACTTTTCAGGTTTTTGTTGAAAAAAGAAAAAAGAAAACCAAACAAGAACCACAAAAACAAAATGGTTTTTGGTTGTTGAAAACCAATCCCTCCCCCACCCCAGTTTTGGGTTGTTTTTTTTTAAAAAAACCCTGACAAATTTTGACAAAAATAAAATTTTGTTAGAAAATGTCCATTTAGTCCATTTTTTCCCAATTTAACTTTCATCCATATGCTACTTTCAGTTTAATTTTGTTTGATCTTTAATTTAACAAAAAATACACCTCAGCAAGGTGAGTGATTTATGCTTGATCCTCGGCTGCTAGTTTAAGGCAGATTTTTCTGTGATTATTTTTGGATTCTTTTGAATTTTTTACATTAGAACAACAAGAATAGACCAGATGAGAATAGGGCCCAAATCTGTGTCTTTGTTCACCCCTGAACTCCTTTGGAAGTCAGTGAGAATTTGGCATTCGCTAGCCATGCTGTCCATAATATTGTCATAACCGGGATCTCTCTGCTTTGAGAGGAAGCGTAGAGTCTAGGAGCCAGGACTCCTCAGTTCCATTTCTAGCTCTGTCACTAATTTGATTTGTGACCTGGGCGAGTCCTGGAGTTGGCTCCCCTCTGAGATAATACTGAGCTAATTGACTGTTCTGAGGCTTAAGAAATTAGTGTTTGTAAAGCCCTTGGAGATATTCAGGTACATAAATGTGAAGGGTTATTATTTATGATTCTTCATTTTTAACCTCTCTTTTAAGATAAAATTATACAGGTGCAAATTATACCCCACCCGTAGGGTAATGATACCCTTGAAGAACAGTAATTTTATGGTAGATTGGTGTTGTTATTAAAATGAGAATATTATAGAGGAGTCGGAGCACGTAGATTCAGTCTTGCATAACAGAGTTTATAATCCCACCTATAGGAGGGCAAAAGAATACAGCCAACCAAGTCCTATTAGGGTGACCAGTCCCACCTTGCATTGCAACCCACTGAAAGACATGATTTGTTTAATGCATAGTGAAATAATCTTTCTTTCTTACCAAGTTCAGGGCAGTCACCACAGTAAAAGGATAATTCTCAGCGCTGTGTAGTTACAGTGTACAGAACTTTACCTTTTCAAGACTGCGCTACATAAGTTAGCTCATTAACCCTTGCAAACGCCTTTTGAATGGCAGCATTGTTATCCATCCTGTGCAGGTGGGGAATTAAGGCACGGCGCGGTTCAGGTGGACGTTTTCAGAAGCGGCCACTGATTTTGGCTGGCCTCAGTTTTGGAGTGCTCGACTCGAGATGCAAGAGGCTAGATTTTCAGGAGAGCACCCTGCCTTGGGTGAAAATCTGACCCAAGCTGTCTCAAGTTGGGCACCCAACAGTGAGACATCCAAAATTAGAGGCGATATTTGGAAGTCTGGTTGCAAGTGCCTTGCCTCTGAGAGTCAGTGTTCAGTTTAGTTGGGGTTAGAGCTCAGAACCTCCTGGGTAACTAGGCTACATTGCTTCTCTGTTACAGCACAGCGGCCTGTTGCTGTCAACTCTGATGAACTCTGGAAGAACTCACTGGATTAGCAAATAGTCAACAGATTTCAAAGATGTATTCTCTGCTCTTCGCTCTCAGCCGGTTGCTCACAGCGAGATCTCTCAGGAGCTGAAAGCACCTTGGGGGAAATGTTTAAAAGCAGCAAAATGACTAAGGAGCCTGCATCCCATTTTCAAAAGTGACTTAGGGACAGATTTTCAAAGCTGTTTGGGTGCCTGAAGATGCAGATAGGCACTGAAGAGTATTTTCAAAAGTGCCTAAGCAGGTTAGGCACCTAATCCCCACTGAAATCACACACCTTTGAAAATACCCCTCGGGACCTAAAGGCCAGATTCTCAAAGGTATTTTGGTGCTTCAGAATACTTCTAAGTCATGTCAGTGCCTTTGGAAGTGTTACCCCTTGCTGTGCTGGAATGGCCACCTGCCTTTATCTAGAGATGTTTCTGCCTCTTTTGAGGGATCTGGTATTGGGGATCTGACAGGGGCTACAGAAAAGAAGAAGGAGAAGTTTCATCAGATGGACTTTTGATATTTAAGGGTGAGATTGTTTCTGGTTTTGCCCTGGTGCAAAGGACCAAATAATCATAGAATGTCAGGGTTGGAAGGGACCTCAGGAGATCATCTAGTCCAACCCCCTGCTCAAAGCAGGAGCAAACCCCAGACAGATTTTTGCCCTAAATGGGCCCCTCAAGGATTGAACTCACAACCCTGGGTTTAGTAGGCCAATGCTCAAACCACTGAGCTATCCCTCCCTCCCCCCATCCCTTGGCTTGGTTGAGTAGCTGCCGAGGGCCAGATACAATCTTGACTCTTTCGCTTCTAGTCTGCAAGGAGCAGGGCTGTCTAGCTCTGACAACAGCACTGGATATCCCAGACTGGATAGCAGCGCCCTCCACCCCCTGCCCCCCAATTCTGCGCAGGTCAGTGTACCAAGGTCAGGTTGGGTGAATACACACTACTGCACGTCAAAGGGGATCACATCTGCCACTCTGCCATGCAGCCCATCATGGCTGCTGGTGTCTCTACAGCTGAGTCATTCAGAATTCCTCCGGTGTCTGCTTCTGGGGAGGAGCACAGCCACACCCGTCCCCTCAGTGTGGGCTCCAGTTGTTCAAGCTGCAGTGGAACACTTACATTTGTTTTGCAAGGTTTTATGACACTGTCGAAACAGCTGGATGTGATCAGGGACACCGGAGACGAAGGATTATTTGTCATTCATTATAGGGCAGAATAAAGAGGCAGGTTATTTCACAGGGTGCTAAATCAGGGGAAATCCAGGCCCTGCACTGGGTGTTTCTCTTTCCGCGCCGTCCAGGCTCACACGATAATGTTCTCATTTTAAAAATATGACCCAAATATAACACTTCGGATGGCTAAGGCGTCATTATTAGGAGTAAGGGCTGTAATTAGTAAAGATGAGGGAAGGGGCTAATTCAGCTGTATACAGGACATTCTGACTCAACCGACTTCTACTTACATGCTTTGCTCACAACATAGAAAACCCAGAATATTTTTCTGTCCGACTCAGGGTTTATTTACAACTTTTCTGCATTTTCACATGCAACGACCCTGGCAAAGAATGATGGATTTCTGAACTGCAGGCTAATTGTGTTTTTATTTTGTTCCTGCTGGTATTCATGTTCTGACCTTCCCCATGTTAACCACTATGGTCATTTCACAGCTTGTCCTCTGTCATTAAATCCAATCACCACTGGGTGGCACGTGTGTATTATGCAATTTTGTGATCGGTGCTAGATCACTTTGTATAACCCTAGGACCGAATCATACAGGAGATTGTTTCATTCAAATCCACCTGACCAATAAAAGGCTTGCCAGGGAGGAAAGGTATTTGTAAATTTATTTTAGTGAAACCTATTTAAGGGATCACCCAAGATACTGACAAAGATCTGTTCCTTGGAGGAGGTGGAATAGACTTGTGTCTGATATGCCTGGGGATGCTTTGGACTGGTCCCTTAAGACAGGAGGTATCTAACAAGGAGGGGTGGCTTGCACAAGAGACACTGTCTTTGTTATTTCAATATAACAATAGGAGTGCAGAGTGGTCCAAAGACATAGAAGTCAAGATCCTTGCCAAAAATCTGTATTGATGTCAGGCAAAAAACATGATAAACAATGAAAACAGATGGGGAGGGGGCAGGGAGTGAAAAGACAATCGAAAACAGTAGGAGATGGCGCCTGCTCACGGGGGAGTGTTGTTTTTGTTACGTTAGATTCTTAAAAGGCCTCTACATGCTAAACAAGAATTTCAGCCAGGGAGCTTAAATTCATAACTTTGCTAGACACTAAAATTCAGGAGTTAATAAAGACACTGGACTTGTGGCTTATTGCAACAATCTGTAACCCACTAACCTCCCGTTTGTGTCCTATGACTACAGAGGTGTTAACGAGCATTCACCTTGAATTGTACCTTGAACTGTTTGCCAGAACCTGGGAATGGGGATGATTCCCTGTTCTGTTCATGCCCTTGGGGCACCTGGCATTGGCCACTGTCGGAAGACAGGACACTGGGCTAGATGGTCTGACCCAGTAGGGCCGTTCTTATGTAACCTCTTACAAAATGTGTTAACTGTCCAGAGAGAGAAGCCCTAAGACCAGCTTGGTCTGGGGAGCAGGCTAGAGATGGATTTTATGTCGACGTCTTTGTTAATAGAACCCAGGGACGGGGAGATGGGCGAGTTTGGACGTTGCATAATGTGTGGTCTGTGTTTGCAGAGCAGGTTGGGTTGGGGAAGGCTCCTGCTTGCACACGGGGTTGGTTGGCAGAAGGACAATATCAGGGCTGCCCGTGAATGAACAGGGTTGCAGCAAATGCACTGGGCTGTCTCCCTATTTCCTGCTGTTTTCAAATAAGTTGTGGGGGGGGAGGGGACTGGAGCACCCTTTTTCAAATGTGCTTCGGCTGGGTTATTAATGTGGGCTCCTTTTCCAGACTCTTTCTGGGAGTTCAGCTACTTTGTCCATTTATACTGTAACTGGGGAGTGTTTGTCAGCCTGTTTTGGGTTTGATTGGGGACTGGTGGTGGGCAAAACCCCTGGAAAATGTCTCAGTGTCTCACAGAGCAAGGAGACAACAAGGTGACCCGAAGCACTGAAAAGACAGAGAACACGTGAGGAGCAAGTGTCACAGTGAATGTGGGGGGTTCTGGTTCTGATCCGGAGATGCAAATGGACAGAACCATGCGGTGGATAATGCAGAAGGAATTGATGCTGCCTGGGCTTAAATTTCACTTCAGAAATAATCATTCCTTGCCCCAGCTCCAGGCTCAAATAAATCACGCAAAGTGAAGCTCAGTGGTTTGAGCATTGGCCTGCTAAACCAGGGTTGTGAGTTCAATCCCTGAGGGGGCCATTCGGGGATGTAGTTAGGGATTGGTCTTGCTTTGAGCAGGGGGTTGGACTAGATGACCTTCTGAGGTCCCTTCCATCCCTGATATTCTACATTCACTCTTGTGTGACATAAATGGTGCCTGGGTCTTGTATGTGCCCCTGGCCTAGGGGTCAGTTTTACCTAACGACTCCATCATTATCCCATAGAAGAACCCATTCGCAAAGCAAACTGAGAGCCAGATTCTCAGCTGGGTTAAATCAGCAGAGCGTCATTCAAGTCAGGCATCAACTGAGGGTCTGGGCTAATATCAGCTTGGGCCTTGCCAGATAAAGTGCTCTCAGGTTCCAATGTTTCGCTTTCCTGACCTTGACAAACCACCACGGTGCTTTCAAAATTCTCCTTGCCCAATTTCCTGCTCTCTACTTGAGCAAAATTCTCCCCGACTTGAGTTTTGCTTCATTAAAGAAAATTTCTATTTCCTGCCTCAGATGCTCGTCCCCGACTATCGCAGCTCATCGCTTTCAAGAGCCAGGATGAGACAGAAGGCGTAACTCCCTGGGCTTGAAAACCGAGGGAATGGTAAATAACGAAGAGGAGCGGTCACTGATTCAGAGCAATTTGGAATGCGTAGTAAACTGGTTGCAAGCAAACAACATGCATGTTAAAATGGCTAAATGTCCATGTATATATCTAGGAACAAAGGCTGCTGGCCATACTTACAGGGTGGGGGAGTCTATCACGGGAAGCAGTGACTCTGAAAAAGATTGGGGGGTTCAGTATTTGGCACTGGTGCAAGCACAGCTGGGATCCTGTGTCCAGTTCTGGTGTCCACAGTTCAAGAAGGATGTTGATAAATTGGAGAGGGTTCAGAGAAGAGCCATGAGAGTGACAGACTCAAGGAGCTCAATTTATTTAGCTTAACAAAGAGAAGGTCAAGGGGTGATTTGGTCGCACTCTACAAGTACCGACATGGGGAACGAATACTTAATAAAGGGCTCTTCAGTCTAACAGAGGAAGGTCTAACACGATCCAATGGCTGGAATTCAAAAGCGAGATAAATTCAGTCTGAAAATAAGATGTACCGGTACGTTTTGAACAGTGAGAGTAATTAACCGTTAGAACAATCGACCAAGGTTTGTAGTGGATTCTCCATCGCTGACAGTTTTTAAATCAAGATGGGATGTTTTTGTAAAAGATCTGCTTGGGGGATTATTTTGGGGGCGTTCTCTGACCCGCGTTACACAGGGATTCTGCCTAGTTGATCACAACGGTCCCGTCTGGCTTTGGAATCTCTATGCATCTATGAAAGCATCTGCTCCCCCCCCCGTCAAATCCAATCCCAATACATTAGGGGACAAGCCTGGGTGCTACACCAGCTGAGAGCTTGTCCCCTAATGTATTTTATAGACAGTAGCAGGAAAGCATTGCAGGAGAGGTTTGGAGCCATAGCAAAGAGGCTGTGACGAGGAAGACCATGCTCCGGTCACCAGAAGTAAGTGCGCACTAGGGTTACTTGGATTTGTATTGCATTTTCTGCCTCAGTTACACAAGGAGCCATTTTGGCCCTTACTTCTTTGGTGGCCACCAGTGAGGGAAGGGTCGTGGTTTCTGAGAATGCCAGGAGTACAGGCACTGAGAGGATTTAGAGGCTTGTCCTGCAGCAGGTTCTGTGGGGTCCTGAGCACCTTGGTTTCGCTGCTGTGTCGGTGGAAGTTGTGTCTCGCTGTGGCTCAGGTCCTGCTCTGGTGTCTGGGGCTCTGGGGCCTGACTGGGGCTTAGGTCCTGCTCTGGTGTCTGGGGCTCTGGACCCCGACAGGGGCTTGGTTCCTGCTCTGGTATCTGGGGCTCAGGGGTGTGACGGGAACTCGAGTCCTGCTCTGGTGTTTGAGGCTCGGGGGCCTGATGGAGGCTCGGGTCCTGCTCCGGTATCTGGGGCTCCGGGGCATGACAGGGACTTGGGTCCCGCTCTGGTGTCTGGGGTTCCAGCCCTTGATGGGGGCTTGGGTCCCGCTCTGGCGTTTGAGGCTCCGGGGCCTGATGGGGACTTGGGTCCCGCTCTGGTATCTGGGCCTCTGGGGCCTGACAGGGAATCGAATCCTGCTCTGGTATCTGGGGCTCCAGGGCCTGACGGGGACTCGAATCCTGCTCTGGTATCTGGGGCTCCGGGGCCTGACGGGGACTCGAATCCTGCTCTGGTGTTTGAAGCTCAGGGGCCTGACATGGGCTTGGATCCCGCTCTGGTATCTGGGCCTCCGGGGCCTGACAGGGATTCGAATCCTGCTCTGGTATCTGGAGCTCCGGGGCCTGACAGGGACTCGAATCCTGCTCTGGTATCTGGGGCTCCGGGGCCTGACAGGGAATCGAGTCCCGCTCTGGTGTTTGAGGCTCAGGGGCCTGACGTGGGCTCGGGTCCCGCTCTGGTGTCGGAGGCTCCTTTGTGCGCTCCCCACAGTTTGCTTCTCCCTGAGATGCTGAGCTTCCACCGTGGCCTGGTCGCTGACCCTGGCTTACTTCCCCGTAACAAGCCTTGGCCACTTGGAAGATCAGGACGAGAAACCCGTTGAAGTCAAGTCTGCCATCACTGTCAGTGTCCAGCAGCTGCAGCAGCTTGTCTATGGTCTGGAGACCCTGGGGGACCTGCAAGGAAACAAAACCCGGACCAAAGCCCATTAACCCGTCATATATCCTCCAGTTTAGAAACAACAAGCCAGCTCGGCTGTAATCCCCGGGTGTGCCTACACTTATGGCGGGGTGTAGATTGCAGACACTGCACCTGGCTAACACGGGTATAAAGATCAGTGTAGCCTGTGAGGCCTCGCATAGGCAAGTAGAATAGAGTGTCCTACACCCCTGAACCCCCACCGCTCTCTCCACGCCCAAGCTGTGCCTCCCACCTCTACGCTGCTGTTTCTAGCATAGTGTCCTGCTGCCCCCCACCCCGCCGCACTGTGGCCTTTGCCCCTGCAGTGAAAGGCTCCAGCGGTGGGGACGCAGTGGGGAAAGACGCTGGCAGCTCCTCGCTGCCGGAGCCTTTCGCTGCAGCGTGTAGCTACACGTGTAGTGCCTCTGCATCATCTCAGGGTGAAATGCCCCCTGTGCAGAGGGCCAGCCGAAGGCCCAGGCCCCAGTGAAATCCTATTGTAGCCCTGAGTCAATTGAATCCTATGTGTTCCCAGCTCATTCACAGTTGTATAGAGATAAGCACGGTGTTTGGCTTTACGCCCCCCCGTGTTGCAGTTGGTATTGGTGGGATCGGTGCTACACCCTAAGAAAGAGAGGAAGGATGACCGTCCCCAGCAGAGAGGAAGGATGGCTCGGCGGTTAGCACTTGGAAGACCTGGGCTCAGTTCCTCGCCACAGACTTCCTCTGATAACCCTGGCCAAGTTTCTTGGGTTTCCCTGTGCGCCTGTCCACACTGCCCTACAGTTTGGACCACGGAAGTGTGACCTGCCGAGGAAATCCAAGTGCTGCGCTGTACCTCCCCTGCATGGATGCTGCGGGTGCGAGCGAAAACGTTCCTAGTTCGCATTAGCGGAATCCTCGTCACACAGGAAAGGGAAATTCTGAGAAAAAAATCCCTTCCGAAAATTCTGTTTCCGAGTGAAATTTTCAGTTTGAAATTTATGATATATTTTTTTCCTTTTTCACATTGTTTTTATGATTTGTACATTACTTCATGACGTGTCAGCAGCCGTTGTGCATAAGAAGGCGTGTCATAGCGTGTCAGGTCATCATATGTCAGAACGGTCAAAATATTTATTTTATTTTAAAATAGATTCAGGGCAGCTGCCCCTTAGCATCACAGATTGAAATGTCCCTTCTTTACCAGCTCAGTCAAACTGTTACATTACGGCACAAACCGGAGAACAGACTCTTGTGCAGTCTCTTATATCGGTTACCAAACAAGAACCCGTGCACTCATTGCAAAGACCGTCCTCCTCCTCACTCCTGAGCCTAGTAACTAGCACAGGTGTCTTGGCAGTGCTCACCACGGTCACATCAGCAAACTCCTGATGGATGAGCTGTCTCAGCTCCCCCTTGCTCAGCGTGGGGCAGGCGCCATCCTTCTTTGCGAACACGTAGAAAGCATTGATAATGCCTTTGATATTGCTTAGCAGCTGAGTCATCTCCCTACACGTTCGAGTGAGCCTGGAAGACAGGAACAGACATTTTTTCCCCCCAGTGACACTAAACTCAGGTGTAATCTCAGAGCCCATGTGGATGTGCAGGATGGAAATGACAAAGAGGCTAAACAGATGGACAAATGGACAGTCAAAAAGATGGGTAGGTGGAGAGATGGATGCCTGGATGAGTAGACAAAGAGATAATGCCTAGCTGAGCGTATGGAGAGCTAGATAGATGGACAGCCCCATGGATGCATGGCTGGAGAGACAGATGGATAGATGCCTGGACTGGTGGCTGGAGAGCTAGACAGATCAATGGATGGCTGGAAAGATGGATAGATAGACAGTTGGTGAGATGGAAGGATAGATGGATGGATGGACAGTTGGTGAGATGGAAGGATAGTTGGAGGGATAGACGGATGGATAGACAGTTGGTGAGATGGATGGATAGTTGGAGGGATAGATGGAGAGATTGAGAGACTGACAGTTGGTAAGATGGAAGGATAGTTGGAGGGATAGATGAATGGATAGACAGTTGGTGAGATGGAAGGATAGTTGGAGGGATAGACGGATGGATAGACAGTTGGTAAAATGGAAGGATAGTTGGAGGGATAGACGGATGGATAGACAATTGGTGAGATGGAAGGATAGTTGGAGGGACAGACGGATGGATAGACAGTTGGTGAGATGGAAGGATAGTTGAAGTGATAGATGGAGAGACTGACAGTTAGTGAGATGGATGGATAGTTGGAGAGATAGATAAATAGCCCCCTTTCCTCATTTAGCTTTTTGCTTCTGACCACAGATTAAATACAGTCTAAAGTTCAGCTTAGTAAACGTGGCTAAACTGGAGGAAGAACAGAGCTGAGAATACAGCCCAGCTCTGGGGAGCCTCAGAGTAATGTAATTTCTAATTCATGGTCTGCCACAGTCACTAGTTGGAAAAAAACAAATACAGACATTCCTTTAAGACAGCTCGGCACTGATACATCCAGGAACCTATTCCTCGCTTACATTGGTCCTGGTTTACTACCACCAATAACATTCAACATCTGTAAAAATAACAAGATTCCCGTTATCCAGACTTACCCGGTCCAGGAACAAGAAAAGTGCAGTAGAGTATTTTGGAGTGGAGCAGAGATCTTATATAGGGTTCTTAATCATACCCTGTGTATCTTCCAAAGGAGACACCCTCAATGTGCAATGGCCTGATTCATTTCTAACCAATTCAGCTACACCTTTCCCCCTCTGCGGCTTTATTTATCTCTTACTTCTGTTGTACTGATTTGCTGCAACAGCGACTGCAGAATATGTCCAACGCTAGCCCCACCCTGGACGCCTTGCCCAGGCATTTTACAGAAAGGCTACTTTTAATTTTTCTTTAGGTGTCACCCATAAATGTCTCTGAATGTCTGTGGAGCAAACCTGTTTTGCAAGGATCAGCTTCTCAAAGTGATGGGCTTTAGGTGGAGAAGCAGGGGAAGACGCCACACATAACATAAAGGAATATGCTGTAAAAGATATTCCTTAGGCCTATGTGACACTGGAGGTCAGACGAGATGATCACAAGGGTCCCTTCTGGCTTTGGAATCTACAGAATATTTGTTGATAAGTGATTGTGATATTAAAGTGACTTGAATAGGTTTTTTTTGAGCGGGTTAAGCACAACTACTCTCCCCACTGCTGTAGTGCTTTCGGTCTCTGAGCGCAAAATACGACAGCATTAGTTCTTGAAAACTCTGCTTGTGGCTGTAGGTGCCTTGCTATTAGGAACACACAGCTGTGTGCGCACCGTGGCGGGGAAATGTTGTCAGTGATACTCCTCTGCATAAGTGTCTGTGTGCATTCAGGGGTAAATATCCTTTGGATCATTTTTCTGAGCACTTGTGCATTGAGGAGTAGGTGTTAACACTATCTGTCTGGTTAAGAATGCTCCTCTGTGTGTGTGGGGAGTATTATAAAAAAGATCTCATAGAATCATAGAATCTCAGGGTTGGAAGGGACCTCAGGAGGTCATCTAGTCCAACCCCCTGCTCAAAGCAGGACCAATTCCCAACTAAATCATCCCAGCCAGGGCTTTGTCGAGCCTGACCTTAAAAACCTCTAAGGAAGGAGATTCCACCACCTCCACCATCTCTTATTTGGGCTAATTTTGAACCCGCCTGAACATTGTAGATTTAAAAATTTGACGCCGACACATTGAAGAAGGAGCAAAGAGGGGCAGAGTTAAAGACGAACACAGAACCACCCCCATCCTGGTAACAATATTCATTTGAAATTGACACGGCCCCTCTGCCTCCCAGGCACTGTTAAGAGAAGCTGAAATTTCAGGGTTACGTCCCCTACTTGCTCCCTTCTGGTTTGTGAGGTCAGGTCTTCACTGAGGGCCCACTCCTGTAACGGGTTACTCAAAGTAGCAAACGCTGCTCCGGGTAGTAAGTGTTTTCAGGATCAGGCTCTTGGAGGTCGACCAATGCACCCGCCTGCATGAGAGTGCAGGATCAGGTCCTTTGAGTGCAAGCTGTTTGGAATAGGGCCAGGCCGTTTGATGGCTAGAAAGTGCCTAAGGCACTAAATAAATGAATGACAATGACAGTAATTAATATTACAGCCGAGCGGGAGTGGGGGTGAGAGAGAATGTCTAATGGAGAACTAAATACAATCAATACATTCCACCACATATAGGGCAGCCACTTAACATGTAGGGAAAAACGTGATCCCTCATTTACAGCCCTTGCCATAACAGGCAATGCGGCCTAGTGAATCAGACCCTTGCCTAAGAGATATGAGATCTGGCTACGAAGTCCTAGCTCTGCCATTACCTGATATATAATCCTCTGTAAATCCCTTGCCTTCTGGTTCCTCTCCCATCCTTTGTCAATTTCGATTGCAATCGCTTTAGGGCAGGGACTGTCTCTTGCCGGGTGTTTTTACAGCCCAATGGGCCTCTGATCTCGGGCGGTTACTTTACGGTGACGAATAATTACAACGTCAATCAGAAGGCAGTATTGCTATCCGAGGGCAGAATTTGGCCAGTGGTATAGAGCAGAAGAGTTCATTGTGGTTTAGCATTGGAGAAATAAGGGGATTATTTTACTATGCGCTAGGGTTGATTGTGGAAGGATGCATCTTTCTGTCTTTCCCCTGCGAGCACATTATATGGTCAACCTATATTTCATGTCCCTCCCTCTACAGGTGTTTTGAGATTAGATACTCCCTCTACAGGTGTTTTGGGATTAGATACGTATGGCTAAAATACTTGTTCCAGTGTCATTGAATTATTCTGACTGTAACTGTCATGAAAACCTCACATTCAAAATTACAGTCTCCCAAGGATATCATTAGCATCAAGGTGGGGGGTAATTAACACCCTGCGGGCAACTGGACTTATGTAGGTGTGTTCAAAACAGTGTCATTCAACTGGCTTCTTCCCATGGGGCCTGTGGAGTATTCTGTGGTTTTCCATCTTCCTTGTGCCAGGACAGTCATTCTGAGCAAGGACCGTTGATCGAATAGGTGAATTTATTGTATTGCTGTATCCGGTACCAGACCCTAACACTGAGCTCTGACCAGCTACGAAGCAAATGTCACTGCAGGCCCTGGGTCAGAATCTCCAGCTGGATTCTCTGATGTGTTCTGTAGGCATTTATATCATGTCCTTTAAGGTGCTGGGTTCATAGTGCTGGAGAACGAAGCCCTCTGTATAGCCCTCCGCTCAGCCTGGGTAGAGGGAGAGTCAACTTCCCGGACTACCTATGGGGGAAGAGAGCAACAGAATCAGAACTGAGGCCCATCTGCTGCAAAATACAGAGGCCTGTGCATAGGCAGGGAAACACCATTGTGGCTCCGTTATTCATGCTGCCCTGACACCAGGAGTCGTCCAATTGAAGTCAATGGGTGTCTTTGTGGAATAGGGTACTGCTGAGTGCGAAGGAGGGGCTGGCCTTTTGGTAGCAGAGGGCTAAGACTGTAAGTTCTTTGGGGCAGAGTCTGCCTTTATGTTCTGCACCTCGCACAGTGGGGCCCTGGTCTATGGGTGGAGTTCCTAGGATAGCACCTAGAAACACAAATAAATAAATAAATAATGTAATAAATAAACTTGGCTGCTTCAGTAGAGAACAGTGATACACGTGCTGGAAAGCAAGTTAACAGAGCCCTTTTCCCTCAGGCTCAAAGCCGGGTATCTGGAGTCCAGTGGGTTCAAGGAAACAATCATAGTCCAGGCCATAACAATAAGAGGGTTAGTGTGACTGGGTGTCTCGCCTCTGCCCCCTGCTGGACAGAATCAGAACTGCTTAACTATCCATCATAGGCCCCGTTCTGCTACCACTTTGTCAAAATGCTCCTTTAACTCAAGTACCATGGGATCGTGGCCCAGAGCCACAGATGTATTTAGGTGCCTGACTCCCACCTAAAACACTTGGTGCATCTTGGTGGCCTGTGTCTTTAGAGCAGAAGACGTTGGAGAGGTATCCCTGTCCTCTCTGGGAGACTCCAAGGGGCTGCGGGGACGTAGTGAGAACCACGAAGGCCTAATTACCCGTGGGGTTTTTTATACTAAAACATTTGATTGCTTCTGGGCCTCTCTAGCAAAGCATCCTAAGCATGCCAATGAAACAAACACTGATCAGTCGGTAAGGATTTTAAGTCTTGTACTGCACGTATTACTGAATGACAAACCCCTTTGTTTAGCATGTCTGAAGCTAACAGTGGGGTGCAAATTATAACCTCTCTTTCTGGTGCACAGTGCAGCTGGCCATAATTCAAGCGTCTGCCTGGACAGGCTTAAAGGCGGCTTTTCAAAGAGTGTCACCAGCTGGGAGTTTCGATATATAGCAGCCAGGACTTTCAGCAGCCTGGCACACCTCGTCGAGATCAGCTAAAGGCGGAGTGACAGCTGCCGACAGTGAAAAGAAATGTTGTGCATAATAATAATGGGTAGCTCTTCCCAGCCATAGAAAGATTAGTATAATCATTACAGATGGGGAAACTGAGGCACATAGCAGGGACGTGACTTACTCTCTCCATCAACAGCTCTGTTGTACTGTAGAGGCACGGAATACGCTGGATCAAGCCTCCAAGTGCCAGCGTCAGCACAGCAGCTGAAGCAAACCCACTGTGCCGACAATGCAGACAGCAAAGACAGTGGCAATGCATCTCTTCTCTGAGCTCCTCCCTGGCCGTTTGCTACCGCTCTGCCCAGGAGGAACTCCCTCTAGGAGCAAGCAGAGAATTCATTCTCAATGGACGTCAGTCTTCTGCCTTTCCACTTGGACTGTCCATACAGTTGCTACTGGCTTTTATAATGTGTCCATTCGTTCACTGCGACCTGGACTGAGTCCCAGCAAACTTATCTCACTGGGTTAAGAAGTTAAGTTTTAATAACTCCCTAAATATCTCTATTAGAAGCTGCTACAAACTAAGTGCAATTTTAAAATGTACTATTAGGCATTTGGGGGCAAGATCCTCACAGTAGGACCCCCACTTTAGGGTCCTATTTTTGAGCATCGTTGCTTTAGCCAACAAATGGCTAATTAGAGAGTTTTATTTTAAACACTACAGAAATACTTACAATTTTTAAGTACACATTTTTGTTTGAGAGGAAAAAGAAATAATAATAATATGTATCAATAGATATTTACAAAGGAAGGCACTGTGATTATCCCCATTTTTGAGATGGGGAAACTGAGGCACCAAGTAAGGGAAAGATTTGCCCTAGGTCAAGAAGAGAGCCAAGGATAGAATTCGTATCTCCTAGTCCAGGGTGCTATCCACTAGCCCAAATCACCTAAGGTAATTCAGCTCCAGAATCTGTATTAGAAACAGCATTAGGAACAAAATGCCCCTCCAGCAACAGAAAGGGTTAAATGGTTTCAATGGGGTGGATTGAAATCACTACAGGTGTGCCTCTTAATGACTTACTAATTGGGTAGGAGGGGAACATAAAAAGGGAACACAAGATGAGCCTCAGAGGAAAATGTGGAGCAAGGGGGTGGTGTGAATGCTGAGCTCTAGGGTTCAAGCCAACACTAAGTTAAACTGTCAGAGGAGCTGTATGACTGGTCACGGAGGCAAAGCCACTTTTGTTGTTAGTGGAATTATTTGATTTATGTTAGTGTGTAGAAAATCCACAGCTGAGCTCAGGGCCCCATTCTATTTGGAGCTGCACATACCCAGAGCAAGAGAGCGTCCTTGCCCTGGCTGGCATGCACCGTTTCAA